ACGATCAGAAACAGAAACAGAGCCATCAACTCGCTCACAAGTCTTTGGACCAAACTCTATCGTCAAATAATCCCTACGGGGAAGCCAATTACAGAGGATACATAACAAACATATATACGAAGACGACCATACAATAATGGCTCGCCGTGAGACAAATCGATCCTGGCAAATAATCACCGAAGACGATAAAGTGAAGTAATCACCGAATCTGAGTATAATCAACCAAAAGGAGATGCGATTCAAGCCGCTCACCGATCTGAACTCTAATCAGAAGTATGACGAGAGGAATTAGAGTCTTCGCTCAGATAGATCGAGTTTTGAAAAGAAGAAGATACGATTCGCCGCTCAGATTCGAATTTCAACTACGGTACAAATCGAAGAGGAAGTGGAGGTTTTGGAACGATGGCGTTACTAACCTGCAGGCGATGTCCTCCTGGAGTGAATGCGATGGCGTTACTCACCTCAGATTAGAATCTCCCAACTCTTCAGGCAACGTCGATACTTGAGGAGAGAACAGAAAAGAATGGTTTGAAGGAGATGGGTTTTCCCAAACAGAGTGAACATAAAGCAGATGTGTTTTTATACCAAAAAGAAAGGCGATGGGTTCCATTAAAAGAAACGGTGCGGACATTATAAAGAAAAAATAGAAATAGTAAGTTGGGAGAAAATATGACCAATTATATTTGGCCAGAAAAAGTATTTAATATTTTATGACCAATATTTTTAGTTTTGTAAAGTTTGTTTTGATCATAAAAATTCTGTTCTTATAAGTGACCATTTTAATATGTTTATGCGACCAAAAGTATTAGTTACTTTAAAAAGCATTAAGGATGATAAACAAATTGTTTTGGTTAGAAAAAGAATTGAACATTCGGCTACTAATTTTTTTGGTCGTATAAATTTTAATTTGGTTATAAAAAATCTTTTTCTAGTTAGTAACCAATTCATCAAACGTTTTATTACCAAAATATAATTGGTCATTAATAATTAATTTTCGCCGACAAAAAAAATTAGTTAAATGAAAATGGTCACAAAAGGCTATATTTGTTGTAGTGGTTGCAAACAGCCCTGGCGGAAAAAAAAAAAAAAATTAGCTCTGCCGCTGTTTCCAAACAGCTTTGGCGGAAAAGAGGAAAATAAAATAAAATTTTTTTTTTTTTGCAACACTGCCGCAGTTTCCTAACAGCACTGGCGGAATATTAAAAAAAAAAAAAGGAAAAAGCTCTCAGCGCTGCCGCTGTGTTAACAGCCCTGATATAAAAAAAAAAATCCCAACAGTGCTGCGGCCTGCGGACAGCGGACGGCTGCAACAAGCCTGGGGAAGAAAAGGCAAAGCCGACCCGGTTGGTTTAATAAGTATATAAATAAATTAATTTCCTTGTCCAAGAAGGGGATGACAAGAGATTCACTTAAAGTTTTCCGCCAATTTTGGTGGGATTGTGGTTGAATAAAAATTATTTGTAGATGATGGATTTTGTGTCAACAACTTAGTTCATAAGAATCGGTTCTTATAAATTAAGTTGTGGGGGCATTGTTTACACCTAAAAATAATTTTGTCTTCAATATCGCCAGTGTCGCGAGATTAGCGACACCGGTGATAAACAATTTCGGCGGTGTTGACACCTAAAATTATTTTAGATTGAATTAAATGCCGTACTAATGAGTCTCGGCATTTAATTCGATGTCGCATGATAAAAAACGGCATCGTTGAGAGACAAGCGGCATCGCTGAGAATTAAAACGGTACCGCGGATCTAAAAACGGTACCGCGAGTAGGCCCAACGATGTGCGAAACAAAAAACGGTACCGCAAGAAAGCTCACCGGTACCGCGGCATTGGAAACGACACTGTTTACCAGAAAACAGGATGGGGCCGCGCGCGTAGTATTGGTGTTGGAAAAGGAGTTATTATTATTATTTTTATTCCTTGTCGGAAGGGGAGAAGCGGTACCGCATGGAGACAAGCGGCATCGCGGAAAATAAAAACGGTACCGCGGATTTAAAAACGATGCCGCGAGAGCCTTGATAAGCGGTACCGATTAAATAAAAAAAAATCATTGACCAAAATTCGCCCAGCCCAATGCGAGTGCAGACTCGCGGTTCCATGAATCGATATTTTTTGGTTATGGTAGCGTTTAATTAAAAACGGTACCGCGAGCAAGCCCAACGGTACCGCTGTACTAGCAAACGACAGTGTTTAAAATAAAACAACAATGTCGCAGAAGGAAAAGCAAACGGAGCTGTTTGGGAAAGGAAACGACATCGCGGGATCATGAAAACAACTCACATAAAGTTCACGCGAAGCAGTTTGAGGAATCAAGGCAGTTGAGACATGTGGGATTTCAGGACGAAGCAGTTGACACAGAGTTGCGTGAAGACTACGAAGCAGTTTTTCGAATAAAAGCAGTGGAGCAAGGAGAGAGAAGGACAACCAAAAAATCAACACAGATCAACTCTGTTCAAACTTATCTTTTTCTCTGTAACTCCTTCGCGGAGCTCTCCTTCCAGGAAGGATCTCTATAGTTGTAGTCTTAGTCGTAGTCGCGGAGCTCTCCACAGGAATCTCCATAGGAGTAGCGGTAGCGTAGATTCCTCAAAACTCAAACACCCTCGTTCGAACGTAGTTTGGAGAGGTGCAAACCGTAGTAATGGTCGTTCTTGGTTAGAAGTCAGAGGTGCATCGATCAAATCAACGGGTGGCGGGTATTTGACGGTCGTCTCGATTTCAGCAATCAGCGGTGTGTTTGATCAAACGGCACCGCAAGAGTTTCCACCGTGAAATATCAAATCAACATCGCCAGGAACGAATTCGGCACCGGCGGTGGCATTTGGTTTTTCCGGGAAACACTAATATATATTGGACTAAAAAGGCTTTTATGAAATTTATGGAAAATTGATATAATTTTGTAAATCTCAATCAAATTTTTTCTATGTAACCTTTTCCTTTAAAATCTAAGTAAATATGAAGAATACAAAACTTAATAAAAAAATTCAGTTCAATCAAAGGGTTAAAAAACTATATCGTACTGGCAGTTCGACCCGAAAAACCTCCTACCGGAAGAGAAACTGGTTGATGGTATTTAGCCGTATGAAATGGTTTAACAACGATTACACAATAATTTCAGCATAAAATATGCTACCGCTGACTTTTTCGATATAACTTCCAATATAATTTTTCAATATTGGATTCAACCATTCCATTCAACTCTCAATAATTCAAACATTCAAATCAAATGAAAAATATTCACATGTCCAATAAATGACGTCCGTTAATTACCATTAGCAACTGCCGTGAATTAAAATGGACAACCAGGGTAGCAGCCAAATATTACCCTTTTTATGTAATCCCAAAATCCGCAGGGTTCTTTTAACCGCTGGATATAATCGCTGTGTATGCAGACGTCATTTGTGCGACAAGGGCTATGGGATAGCTGCCATAAGTTTGTTTCCATGTAGCGTGAGTGCTGACCGAAAAAAAATGAGAGAGAAAAAGCCTCTGCTTTCTTCTGAATCCTTTTTTTTTCATACATTTTAGTGTAACAAGTGGTCCATGAACATTGCCATGACAGAAATACAAATAAAATGCCAAAAAAAAATAATATGACAAACGAAATTAAAAATAAAAATTATGAATTACTTTGCAATGTTTCATTAACTACCGCCACCTCCAAATTAAATCCAACAAGAGCCCACCGGGCACCCTACCATCAAACAGGTTACAACATTCCCAAATCATTCATTCTTTATAGGCCATTAATATGCAAGAGTTACAACAAGGCCTTCAATGCATGATCATGTTTGTATTGCACGTATATATAGCACCTTGTCTTTTATGTGTTATTACCACTATTTTATAATTAAACTCACATGCAATGCACCCTTTAAAATGACATTGATCAACGAAAACGTGACACAAACAACCATGCATGCGATAGAAAACACAATCGCGATTGAGCAACCTATGTATAGATGCAAAAGAAATCATATACTAGGTAGGGGAGCGAGCTATAGGAAACCAAATGATCATCATCCAAACTTAATCCACCAGCAAAACATAGGCATACCATCATCCAAACTTAACCGTACTAGAAGCAAAGCAAATTTAAAGCAACTCCATCCTTGTTCAGTATTTCCCGATGCGACATGACCAACTGAAAGAAATTCAACGGAAAGTATCTTGTAGCAAGCTAGCGAAACTAATTACAGGATAGAGCGAGCAAGCAAACAAGTCTTGATTCATCATCCGTCGCCATCATAACATCGACCTCGAACGGCCAGCCGATCCCCTACGTACAAGCAAAAAACAGGGACCTGGCTCCTTACTCAGCCTCGTCTGCAAACAACAGCAGGGCAAAGACAAATCAAGACTAGCTATAGCTAGCTAGAGGAGAAAGGCTACAGTAGTCATATACAATACATAGTTCTTTTTGTTACCTAGCTAATTTCTCATATATTCTCCCCAAAACCACAGAGATAGCAGGCCAAAATAACCATTAGAAAACATGAAAAAGAAGGTTGCTCAAACATAATCATTTTTATATATGTGCATAGCAGTAATAAACACAAAGGCCGGCCGGGGTAATTATAGCCGAACCTCATCTTCGATTCTTGTAATAAACAACAACAATGCAGACCTTCCAAGCGAACCATTAATGGAAAGTTAATCTCCGACTAGACTAGACTAGACTATTGGCATGCAATAATCGATTAATCACCAACCCCTAGCTTAGCTTATGCACACACACATACATACAGGTGGATTCGTCTATACTTATTTGCTACTCCATTGAATGGAACCCTAAACGGCAGGCATGCAATACGATTGATTCACCAAAAAGGAAATATCGAGTTCCTCAATTAATAAGCTAAGTCAACAACTACTCAAAACTTAAATAGCAAATCAGTGCTCCAAAATATACGTACAGTTCCCAACTGATCAGATCTGAATGTAAGAAAATTAATTACTGGAACGAGGAAGTTGGGGATTAATTACCTCTTAACTCTAGCCACGATATCCATCTTCAAACGATTCGATGAATGGCCTCGCAACTCCCAAGATGAGGCAGATGAGGAACACAGCGACTCGGATACCGTCGTGGCCCGGTATGGTCGCCACTTTTCCCATGGTTAACCCCAGCAGCCCATCCTGAATGTTGTACTCACACTTGGGCTTGAGCACCCTACAGATGCAGAAAAACCACGCAGACAAGCACAAAAGGAACCAGAGGAGGGGAATGGTATTCTCCTCCACGGTGTACGCGAACACCGATCCAAACACGAAATTCATGACGGACCCTATCAGCTTAGAGGTTGGTCCGTAAGGGCCTACCAGCCAATGAGATTTGGAGACACTGTCGTAGTTCAACATGCCGACAAACGTGCTCAAGCCCAAGTGTGAGTACAACATTCAGGATGGGCTGCTGGGGTTAACCATGGGAAAAGTGGCGACCATACCGGGCCACGACGGTATCCGAGTCGCTGTGTTCCTCATCTGCCTCATCTTGGGAGTTGCGAGGCCGTTCATCGAATCGTTTGAAGATGGATATCGTGGCTAGAGTTAAGAGGTAATTAATCCCCAGCCGCACCAACCCCGACGGTCAAGTCGGAGATAGTCAACGAGTTCCAGGCATCCCTGATGTACTGGAAGAATCCAGACTTAGGGCTATTGCTGCAGGTGTTGCCCGCCGGTGGAGATGGAGGGTTGCTGCTGCTGGTGTTGTCTGCCGGAGTAGGTGGAGGAGCTGCGGTGTTCCCTTGACGACCGTAGTCCGTCTGCGCGTAAATGACGCCCGCCATGAAGGAGGTAAGAGCGGCTAGAACAGTAAACGCTATTGTGTAGCGTCGAAGAGTCAGCTTTCGATCTCCCTTCGGTTGTGGTGGTGGAAGGACCCGAGGAAGAGGAACCTCGGTAGCCCTTTTCTTTTTTTGCCATTGATATGGGTGGGAAGGAAGGTGTGGAGAGAGCTCAGATTTACTTTGCAATTTGGTGGTAGGCGGCACGGGTAGGGTTTGGGGAGAGACTGGAGTGGAGTGGAGTGGCGTGGCTTGGCTTTATATGATCGGTACTCCCGAGTCCCGACAAAAAATAGGTGGTAAATTCCGGCAGAGGTAAATATTTTTTCTCTGAATTCGTTTACTTGGCGTGAATGGGGGAATTTGAAAACAAAACAAAAAAATAATATATATATATATATATATATTCTCACACCTAGCCTTGCGTGTTTAGTATGTGTAACAGTTAATGCATATGGGAGCGAGCTTTAACCATATTTGGCATCTAAATGCAAGGATTGCGAAACCATACGTATTGGATGGAGGTTGTATTAGAAAAATCAGTGGTACGATAGTTTGTGTTTGAAATCACGATTTGATCATAATTTAATCATTTTAAATCATGCCGCCAAAATCTTCTATCAATTTAGATTCTATATATATGAGGTTTTTTCGTCTGGACCGTAGATACAATACGATTTCACAAACACCGTCCATATATGTATACATGCACTAAACAAATTTGTGCTAACTCGCTAGGAGCCTACCATGCACTTAAAAAAAAGACGCTAGGAGCCTAGGACAATTATAATGCAAAATAATAATAATAATAATTATAATAATAGATCACCGTATCCACCTCCCGGGGTTACTGTAGGCACATGAAGCTATCTTCCTCTTTAATAATCTTATTACTCCAAACAGAGTACCCAATCAATCCTATTCCTACCCAAGCTCATCCGCCTTAGCTTCTAGAGAGAGACTTGACTAGGATTTGGGAAATATTTCAAATAGCACAAGATGGCTGGCTAGTGGCTCCACCATGCCCCTTTTTCCAATGAGAACTTCCCCGCCCTAACACTGCTGTGCTGCTATTGCCTGCTATCATGCATATTCATATCTAGGATTTGAGAATGAGAGGGCACAAAACAATGGTCACAAAGCTCCAAGAATGGACTTACCACCAAAGCCAGGTTACATAATTACCACAAATGTTCTCCCAATAAGACTTGCACCATTTCTTAACATCCACATGACATGAGCCCATCTTCCGTTGTTTATTTGCTTGCTCTGGCTATATATGTGCACTTCGTACTTGGAAAGGTGTTGACACCTAAAATTAATTTGGGCCGAAATTAAATGCCGCATTAATTAGTCTCGGCATTTAATTCGATACCGGGTTTGTACCGCGGCATGGGAAACGACACCGCTTAATGAAAAAAAAGCTGCGCGTGTAGATTGGTTGGAGAAGGGAGTTTTATAATTAATTATTCCTTGTAGGAAGGGGAAAATCGGTACCGCATGGAGAATTAAAACGGTACCGCAAGAAAGCTTAGCGGTACCGGTCACCAAAAAACAAAAGAGGGGCCGCGCATTAGTTGATTGTTGGGGAATGAGTTTTGTTTACTCTAATTAATTATAATTATTTTTTACTCCTTGTTGGATAGGGAGAAGCGGCACCGCGGAGAGCTAAAACGGTGCCGCGGAGTTAAAAACGGTACCGTGATAAGCCCAACGGTACCGTGGATTAGCAAACGACAGTGTTTAAAATAACAAACAATGTCGCAAAAAGGAAAAAACAATCGGAGCTGTGGTGGCGCTAGCGATGTCGTTGGCCATAGCTAGTGATGGCCGGATTAATTAATTAATATTTTAATGACTTTTTAGCACAGTGGCGTTTAGTTGAAAGCGATGCCGTAAGAGGAAGAAACGACACCGCGGGACAAGGAAACAGTGTTGTTTAACTAAGAACGACGCCGGGGTGAGAGTTTGACGGCGAGTTAACAATGAGGGCTGATTTAATAAATCAGTATTTTATGAGTATTTTAGACGGTGTCGTTTAATGAAAAGCGATGTCGTGGAAAAGTAAAACGACATCGCGGTAGTGGTAAGAGTTCGGCCGAAGGCAGCCCGCCAAGCCTAACGGCGTCGCAAGAGTATAGAACGACGTTGTTTGATGGACTAACAATGTCGTTGGTTAAACCGGGTCACGGCAGTTGAGTTGGAACATAAAACGGCATCGGTTGGTGAAAGGCGATGCCGTGGTATTGGTGAAACGTCATCGTTACATGGACAAGGTGGTGAGTTGTTTCGCCAAGTTTCTGCAAAGCAAGAGCGGTTTCGAAGGCACGTGATTATCACGCAACAAGGAGGAAGTTACCTGCACGGTTGACAGGAATGAAGACGTGGGAGATAAAGGCGCCAAGGCAGTTACCACGAAGGGGAGAAGCGCGAAGTATAAAGATTGAGAAGAGAGAGAGAGAGACTCGAGAGGGCAAAAATCAAATCACAACTGCACTGTCGCAGATTTTTCTCTGTAGTTTCGTAGAACCGCTCTGTCAAAGATCTCCTTTGCAGAGTCATAGTAGTTGTAGTCGTAGTTGCGGAGCTCTCCAAAGGAACCTCCATAGGAGTAGAGGTAACGTAACTAAGGACTCCTGGTTCGATTTTCTGGTTATTCGTCGAACACCCTCATTCGAACGTAGTTTGGAGAGGTGGTGAACCGAATAACGGTTGTTTGATTAGAAGTCAAAGGTGTATCGATCAAATCAACATCGCCGACATCGGTGGTGGATATTTGACGGTAGTCTTTATTTCTGTATAATCGATCAAATCAACGGCGCCGACTTTCGGCGGCGGATATTTGACGATTTTGCTGACTTTGTGTTTGTGCTTACTTGAAAACAGTGCGCATTGAACACGCGAGTTTCGCCAACGAAACAAATTGGCACACCCGGTGGGACACGTGTGTTCGGATGGCTCCGCGAAGGAAGAATCACGAGGGCGATCTTCCACCAACTTCAGTGGAGGAAGAGCCAATGGTCAATGTAGAGAGTGACCAGAGTGGCGGTTCACACGGTGGTTCGAGCAACGATGACGGAGGGGAAGTACCAGCAGTGGCGCAAACTGCCAACCACGGTGAGATAACACGCATGCTTCGCCAAGTCATGGCTGATAACCAACAGGTAAAACTTCACTTAGCCTCTTTGGATGGACGTCTTGATGGTCTTAGTTCTCGGATTGATAGACGTGTTAGCCAACTGGTTGAAGTCGTAGATAAAAACAGAATGGATTTTGAAAGTAACAGTCGTGATTTTAATGATTTTAGAGAGTTTTTGAATAGGCCAGTGCCGCAAACAAGGGCTTTGCCGTTAGGCGGCGAGAATCCGTTACACAACGACACTGGCACCAATAGCTTTCCGGTCAATGGCGGCCGAGACAGGGCGTTTCACCGACACCGGTGTTGAACCCAACAAGTAGAGTAAATCTTGGCGAGACCAGCACTGCGGCTAACACTCGTGTTGAGCCGCCACCAGTGCACAACGTGAGTCCACAAAATATCCCGGAAGCCAGACCCTACGTGGCTCCGATGAGCGGTACTGTTGGTGGAGGAACGATCAACAATGATCATGTTCCGCCACGCGGTTACCCATAAAACGTGCCGCCTCCCCCGAACGGGCTTGGCATGGATCCTGGTGGATTCATACCACAAGGAGGGCGACTCGGGGGCAAGACGTTAGGCGGCGAGAATCCGTTACACAACGACACTGGCACCAATAGCTTTCCGGTCAATGGCGGCCGAGATACTCAGCCGAGACAGGGCGTTTCACCGACACAGGTGTTGAACCCAACAAGTAGAGTAAATCTTGGCGAGACCAGCACTGCGGCTAACACTCGTGTTGAGCCGCCACCAGTGCACAACGTGAGTCCACAAAATATCCCGGAAGCCAGACCCTACGTGGCTCCGATGAGCGGTACTGTTGGTGGAGGAACGATCAACAATGATTATGTTCCGCCACGCGGTTACCCATAAAACGTGCCGCCTCCCCCGAACGGGCTTGGCATGGATCCTGGTGGATTCATACCACAAGGAGGGCGACTCGGGGGCAAGACGTTAGGCGGCGAGAATCCGTTACACAACGACACTGGCACCAATAGCTTTCCGGTCAATGGCGGCCGAGATACTCAGCCGAGACAGGGCGTTTCACCGACACCGGTGTTGAACCCAACAAGTAGAGTAAATCTTGGCGAGACCAGCACTGCGGCTAACACTCGTGTTGAGCCGCCACCAGTGCACAACGTGAGTCCACAAAATATCCCGGAAGCCAGACCCTACGTGGCTCCGATGAGCGGAACTGTTGGTGGAGGAACGATCAACAATGATCATGTTCCGCCACGCGGTTACCCATAAAACGTGCCGCCTCCCCCGAACGGGCTTGGCATGGATCCTGGTGGATTCATACCACAAGGAGGGCAACTCGGGGGCAAGACGTTAACGCGATTCGAGATTAGGTAGCACAGATTCTGGCGGATCAGTTTGGTTTAGGGATTAGACCAGCGATGCCGCCGGTATACCGAAAACCATATCCGGATTGGGTTGATAGATACTACCCCTTTCCACGTGGGTTTCGCGTACCTGATTTCATCACCTTCAGCGGGACTGGAGATCAGTCCACCGTCGAGCACGTTGGACGATTCACGGTTCAGTGTGGTGATGTGAGTGAACCTGCCTGGGGAAGAGGGCAACGTAGGCAGTGGGTTGCTCAAAGTACCCCACCTTTCAAAAGTCTGCCTTTTGGACTTGCCCGGTGAGAGGTCCCCCACCTGTCAGGAGAACTTTCAGGATGCCAAATGTGCCTCAGGGTGGTTGGCACACCTAAGATGGCAAAGTGACTGGGGAAGCAGCTGAGTTGTGGTTGAAAAAGCAACAGAATCCCAAAGAAGCAAAACCGCCGGAGCGAAAGAAGAAGTAGATACTTATTAATAATGGTGGAATTCGGTGGATGCGATGATCAGCTACCATT